GATTCATTAGCTGATTAGAGTGGGACACTTTGAGCCTAGAATTTTCACACTATTCTAATTTTCTGAGATTATGAATTTGGGGTTTTCATAAGCTGTATGCCATAATCATCACAATTATACCAAAGTAAGGCTTGACATATCTCGCTTTGCATGTAATGCGTCTATCTCATATATTGGTTTCACCTTTTGAGTTGCCTTACTGACATAAATGAACATTTGCATGATATTCTAATTTTTCGAGTTTCACCTCTATATACATTTTCGGCTTCCAGTCTGGAGAAACACCAAGCAAGTCAATTCATGACCCTGCCTTTTTCTGAGATAAGAATGAGGCACATGGCTTGCTCCCGATCCCAACAAGAACTTTAAGTGCCTAAAATCACAGGTCAAAGAAAGTCACTGCTCTCAATGTTTAGTTTGTTTCTATACTGGACAGTACTCCACACTAACCAAGCTCTGAACACAGGGAAGAGAACTGGGCTTTTATTCAGAGCTTGTACTAGAGCTGAGATGTATTTCATTCACAAGACCTCATCCCATACGGATATCCAGGGATAAATTTTTGGATAGCTGCGAAGAGAACTTGATAGAATAAAGAACTCACTATGGGTGTTTTAGCCATGCAGTTTCAATCTTAATTTCCTACTCAAAGGAGTAAATATAGGATTACCACAGATAACAAAAAGTGGGTGATACATTGTATAAAGAATTAAAACATGTACATTTTAAGAAACGTAATGCACTTCACTTTTAAGAAAGTTTTTTTTCCCCCTCCCAAATGGATAAGGTTATATGATAGCAAAGGCTCCATTCAGGAAGGTTTCAAAGACTCATTTGGTGACAGAATCTCCTAAATCTGATACAATAATAAAAATACGAAGGCTGTTGTCTGTAAGTAGTTGACATTAAGATCTGTGTTATAAATTGGAGATAATATAGAATATTATGCAGATAAAAATGAACTTATTTCTTTTCCTACTGATTTCCTACTGAGAGAAGTTGGTATATTTGTAGGGTCAATATACACATAACACAACATGAACTTTGTGGTAGAGAACACTTCCTTTCTCATCCCTAAACCTACAAGATTTCTCATGAATTTTGTTTCTGCATACCATAAATCCATTCAAGGGGCAAGTCATGTCATATTAGAAGTGTGTATACACACACACACACACAAATATTCCTTGTACTTTGTTTTGTTATCTTTTTCCTTCCCTAGTATATCTCCATCTAAGTCAACACAGTTTAGGAAAAGTCACAAACTGGACAGATTCTTTCATCTATTTCACTTGCCATTTGTGTTCATCCTACGATTAACCACTCTAATGAATGCATGTTTGCAGAATGCATCTTTCTACATTTGGCTGTATTCATCAGAGCAAATATGCCTTTTAAGTAATCTGTGAATTGGTAAATTGCAAGATGTAACCCCTTTCAAAGATTACTCTATGGTTAAAACACTACTCTGATCTTCTTGCAGCATAAAAAGTAAAACACCAAATGTTTAAAATAATCCAATCTGAACTACCAATGATTGTAAACTATTAATAATTTCATCTATTTACTTACCTTTATTCTTCCTAAACTAGAGAATTTCTCTTTATCTTCCATGACTGCCTTCAGCACTGGCTGAGACATCCTGCTTTTCATTTTAAAATTGGCAATACCATCAAAGTCAATACCACTCACAACAGCTCGTCGGTATGAAGTAGACCTCAAGCTACGCTTTAGCATCCCTGGATTCTCCACATCCCCTTCTGCTTCATCTTCACTGGCTACCAAAGGTGCATCAAGAGTCTCTACCATGCTGCGTACCTTAAGTACCCTGCTGTTTGGTTCTGCATTCTGACAGTTAGCTTTGCCAATCACTCTTACTTCAGAAGCTAAACTCTTAGGGATGATCTGCTGTTTCCCCACTTTTAATGCAGCAAGACTATTTGTACTCAGAATAACAGCTGACATATCTGATTGGTCATTCCGATTTGATGGTATTCTTTGTAGAGGCAAATGCGGGACATCTGAGGGAGCACGCAGGCAAACAGATTCCTTTTCTAAGTTTTTAGGAAGTTGATTGGGTTGTAATGCTAAGGCAATAGTTGTGTTGTTATTTGGTGAATGCACAATTTCTGTTGGCGACAGTCCAAGGCTTGATGTAAAAACAATTTGTTCCTTCTCAGGGCTAAGTGATGCTCGATTAGAAGCCTTTCTTGAGTGTGTTGATTTACTGCCTGCTGAATCTATGCAACCACTAGATGTGAAGTCTGTAGAATTATTTGAAACCATTTTCAAGATTTGAGGGGACTGGTCAGAAAGTGTAGAAGATAAGGTTCTATGTTCTGGAAACTGAACTTTTCCATTTGCCACATTTTTACAGGTGAAAAGCAAGGGACTTCTCTGAATAGAGTTGCTGTCCGGAGAAGTAATTATTGTTTCGTCAGGTTGGGTTAAAGTGAATGTATCTTTGTCTTCAACAGGAAAATCTGTGAAGAGGACCCCAGTGGAACTCTGATAGGATTGTGGTCTGGGTTTGTTCTTTGTATGCAAATGCCCACGATGAGGTGATCTTCTCTTCCACAATGGTATAATGTTGTTATTGGAAAAGTCTACTTCATTTTGTCCATCCATAACCCAGAACTGAGGTCAATTCAACATCAACACAGGAATGCAATATGTCCTATTGCACAATAAAAAAGGGGAAAAAGAACTTAAATCATTCAGTAGCTATTGACAATCTGGCTAACAAATCACCCTTGATGGGGAGAGGATAGAGAAGAAAGTGTCCACCATTTCCAAAGCACTACTAGTTCATGTTGGCCAAGAAAGTGGGGCTTTTCAGTCTGGGAGACTTGTCAGGTGGGGGGGGGGGATTTCAGCAGCGGCATAGCTAACAGATACTATTCAAACCCCTCTCAGATGTACAGAGGAGGAATAGATTAAGTTTTGGGACCTCTGCAAGGTTCTTCTTTTAAACAGTAATTGCCCAGGCCCCATTTATGGAGGAAGAAAATCTAAATATAGGTCAGTATTTGAAATTATCAGATGTATTGATATTTCTCATTCAAATAAAAATCCTAATAATTGTTTCAATATTTTCCATCTTCCCATAGACTTCCACTGTGGTTAAAGAATGGAGAAAAATACTGCATTCCATAGGATGAAATGAAAAAAGAAGGGTGCTTGATGAACATTCTCTCAAAGACTTTAGGCCTACAGCTGGTGGGAACACTTATTAGTGGTGGACCCATGGAAGCAGAGTTTTGCAGAGAAATAATTAAGCAATCTGGAATGTATTCTTAACATAATAACTGTAATAACTTAGTTATATAAAATGGCTCACTGGTTATATTGTGCCAGAAAAAATTATAAACTTTCAATTGAAGTTTTACTGAGGTAGTTTCTTTTTCTACATGCAGTTAAACGGAAAAGGAAAAAGGTGGCTTTTTAAATAAAGGGGCTACTAAACTACAGCACTAGAAGACTTGCCAAGAATAATTTAACGTAAGCCATGGTGGTTCCAGAAGGCAAAGCAAAGCAAAAGAAGTAAGAGTAATCATTTGTATTGGATCAACTTCTGTTGATGTACAAGTAAGCCACACTCTGCTCTTCAGCAGCCAGGCAAATGAAGAACCCTTTACATTTCCTGTCACTAATAAATTCTCTAGAAAAATATTTTTTTAAGTTTGAAATCATGTAGGTTATACAACAATCATGCAATCTGGTGCAATTTCCTTCATCAAATCTAATTTCATTCACTGCCACCATTAATCCATATTTCAGTACACTCCTAAGATTATACAAAATATGCTCCAATATGTACAATGAATAACAATGCTTTTGAGAACAAGGAAAAGTGGGGATGCCTTAAAAAGTACCCCAAAAGATACACAATGATGCATTCAAAGTGTCTTACTTTTTTCCTAAGGAATCTAAGGAGGTAGCTACCATATGACAAATCTGTTCCCAAATTCTTCTGTTTCAACAAAGAATAATGGCATTACATGCTGCAAAGTAGCACAAATTTAACCTCCTTTCCCAGAAACAAATCCTGCATAAATTTACATTGAAGAAAGTACCAATGAACTCTGTGGTATTCACTTCTGAGTTAACATGTACAGTATAAGATTGCACTTTAGCAGCAGTTTATTACATTGTGCCTCTGGCCAGCAGAATCCCAACCTGATAAGCAGAACTGTACAAAGTCTAGGAGCATTTTACCACCTAATGCATTTATTACACAACATGAGCTTTTAAAGCGAAAGATAGTGGCAAACTAAGATATTGCTTTGAAACATTTGTTCCACAATACTTGCATGGGGTTTCAGAACTGTATTTTGCTCCAACAACTCTATGCTCAAGTATGCATGTTAGAAAGCTTTGCTTAGCTTGAGGCTGAGAAAGCCCAGGCCCATTTTGAGGATAAACCCCATACAGTGCCATGGGACTTGCTGAAAACATGCATAATATTACAGTTAATACTTTGTAAGAAGCACAATAAACAAGAAGAATTCCAGCATCCACATTAGTCCAACTGCAGGCCACAATACAGTTGCAAACGTTCCAGTTCTCCAGGACTCTTGGACGGCGTTTCTACGAACCTATCCATCATAAGCAGAAGGGGAGGGGGGACGAGACGCTTTCTGTGGGCTATCCTCGAATTGAACTGTATCTGAAACAAAGGATTACTTTTTCCCTTTTGTCCTTTCAGGACGGCGTAATCTGTCTGAAGCCTTTGAAATTAAGCAGACTGCACCTTTAAGAAGAACAATCTGAACTCTCGCTCCTCGTATGAGCACTAGAGTAATTCCCATACTGTACATTCCTCCGTAACTGCTTGCTGTTCACTGTTCCTGTTGTTAGCATTCTTGTAGCACTGATATTACTCCCTACAATATTCCTGTTTGCTTGGTTTTTTTGGGGGGGGGAATAGAGTAGTCCCCCATCTACATGAGAAACTCCTGCGGCGCAGCGGTGGAAGAAGCACCGTGTTTACGCTCACCAACCCACCCCTCCTTTCAAGATCCCTTTAACTGCAGCAGCTGCTAGGGAAACTTGTCCTGCGGGAAAGGGG